TTTCTCAGGAACGTGTGAAGGTATCAAGCTGAAATTCATATCAAATACTTAAGTCTACTGTCCCTTGGAGCTGTGAAAAAATCAAACTTCTAAGCCAACGAAATCAAAAGATACAGCCGTTTATGCCGCAATTTATCGACATTCGCAAGGGAATCAAAACCTACAGGGTACTTCCCGTGAACTCAGAATCTTAAAATTTGGTACGAAGCAACGTATTATTAGCACAGATAAAGGAAAAATTGCGAAAAGCATAAATTTTTAGTTACATCATATAATAAAATATTTTTAATAATTTTAAACTTAAATACCTACAGATTTGTTCGGAACCCTCGGTGCGTGAGTCCGACTCGCACTTGGCCGGTTTTTTTAATAGTGTCTGGAGATTTGACTATTTTATAACTTAAAACCGCTAAATAGAGCAGTTTTCAAAAGGTAACCTTTGTTGCTTAAGTTTTCAATAAAATTCGAATCGAAAGATCGGGTTTATTTATTTAATTACATAAAAATAATACAGTTATTTTAAAATTTCTGTTTCTACTCAAACATTACTTTCGCCTCTTAGTGATTGAAGCGTAGTTATAGTCACGGGAGCAATATTCTGTGCCGTTTGATGATGCATCCATCTCTTGCTGTGCGCCTAGTAATTTGCGAAATTTGTCAATACGCTTGTACAAAAATGCCACCATAGCTAGCAACAACGCTGAACCCGCAATCGGAATCCATCCGCTAGCGCCAGAGCTACCGGAAACTAAGTTTCCGAGCCCACACGTGAAAAAGCCGTAGTGCGTGTCCGCTGGTGAACGTGCTGTGACGTCTCTCACATCTGACTTGGAGCGATGGGATTCATTAGTCTCATTAGTACTAGATTTATTAGCCTTATTAGTACTAGATCTATTAGCCTTATTAGTACTAAATTTATTAGCCTCACTAGTACTAGATTTATAAGCCTCACTAGTACTAGATTCGTTGGGCTCATTAGTACCAGATTTATTCACTATCTGTAGCCTTGCCTTGCGTTTCCTTTCTTCCTCTTCGGCGCTTGAAAAAAAAATTTGTTTTAATTTATGTTTTGTTTATAATATTATTAGCAAATTATTCAGAACTTGAAGCCGGTAAGCATGTAGTAAGGTTAAGTATGAAGTTAAACTAGAGGCTGTCGAGCACGACAACTATAGAGATACATCAACTTTGGGAATAAGTGAGTGCTGTAGCCCATAAACACCATACATCTAACATCGATTTAATGTCTAAATGCAGATGCGTTGTTATGAAACTTGAGGACTAAGATGTAATGCCACACTTGTTCTCGTCATCCACTGTAATAACTAGAAATATTATGCTACTATTTACGTTGACATTCTGTGAATGTGTTTCTTTCTAATCGAGCCGAACGATTCGTGATCATAAACAACTGCTATAAACTAAGCTAAATCGAAGCTATATTTAGCTTAGCATAGTTAGGTTCGAAGTATATAGTAGAAGTTCAGTAGTCGAGTGCCGGATTCGAACCCACTACTTCGAGTTCGCGGTCCGCGACCCACCATTTGCATGAAGAAGCTTCCCTATTTAGCGATAACGATTTTATATTTATGTAAAAAAACTAAGTTACAGCCGTTATACGTCTCACATCTGAGTACATGCTGGATGAAACAATTTGACCGCCTCACTGTTTTAATGCGTAATTAATAGTGTTGCCCAAATGCAAGAACAAGACGAGACTTAGCAAGTCTTGGTCTTGGTCTTGCGCCAATACACCTGGTCTTGGTCCTGGTCTTGGTATTGCGCTCCCAGTCTTGGTCTTGGTCTTGGTCTTGCAGCAAGAGTCTCGCAAGTCTCGCAATGATCTATTAGCCTATTACTATTTATTAAACGTTACTTTAGATCTTAGAACAACTTAACAGAGTAGGTACATATTGAGCTTGAATTAACATAGCCACAGTAAAGACCAACCATATTAATAAATGTCTAAACATTTAATGAGAAATTCGAAAAATCAACTGACACCGGGTGGGGTTTGAACCTACGACCTAAGCGATCCGTGCCGATGCTCTAACCAACTGAGCTATCTACCGTGTCCCACGGCCATGGGCGTCAGTTTCTTAATAAACGTTTACATTTAATAAGCTTACATGTGCTAAAACATGGTTAAACATACATATAAAAACAAATTAATGGCAATAACTACACTGTATTTTAAATAAAATTATCTCTCTAGAAAGAGATTGATGGACCCTCACCATATAAGAAATGGAAAAGAGTTATACAATATACCATTTATTTATATAAAAAATAAAATACGATGCAATTTAAATTACTTCACAGTATGTACACAACAGCTTTGACATTACTGTTAGGTACTTTATATTTATTCTTTTGACAAAGCATTAATACAAAGTAACCATCTGGCTGACTCATCACTTAACCTATTTCTATGTTTTCTAATTACTAATGATGCTTTAGAAAATAATCTCTCAGCAGGTATACTGAAGTTGCAGGTATTAAAAGAAAATCACGGGCCATCTTCGATAAAATTGGATATAAACATAATAACAGTCTAAAATGTCGTCCGAGATGACGGCTCTGGGTTTACCTAGGTACCCCTCCAACTCCTTAATAACTAAGCCTTGAAGACAAGATCCAGATCCATTTTTACACATTTCAAGTGTTTTAAAAGTGCTATGGTGTCAACCATATTTATCAAATGTGTGACGACATATTCGAGCACTTTGTGTTTTAAAAACACACACTTGCAAAAGTCGAGATTTGCAGTGAACTTACTGAACATGTTTATCTTTTAGGTAATAATAATAACAATAATAGTAAGTAATTATTATAAATCCATATAGTTAATTTTATAATAATTACTTACTAGAATAAATTATTATGATACCTACCTATTATCTAATTACAATATTTCTTGCGAGATCAGGATAATGTATTCGTGTCCATTCTGAGCACCCGGAAACTTATTTTATTCTTTGAAACATGTACTCTGTGGCGGCAATCAAACAGTGTCAAATGTAGTGCGTGTGGCGCAGCGGCGACGATTGTATGCGATATCAATAGTAGCCGCCGGCACGTGTATCTTGACCTTGTACTTTCGAATAGCTGCACAATTTCTTTGACAGGTCAGTATCCGACCTTTGATGACGCCGACAACAAGACGCCGCGCACTATCAAAGTGCCGATGGTCAAAACTAGGGATACACTCTTTCTTCTTTTAATGGATATTTTCATTCGCTATGTATATTTATGGTATTGTTCGTAATGCGCATAAGTCCAATTTTCCAATATTTTTTTTTCATTATATTTTTTGCGTCTCATAGAGTCCCTAAGCGTATACCCGAACTCCTATACTCCCTGAAACGACACTTAGTCCAAACTGCAAGACGCAAGAGTCTCGCAAGCTAAGTCTTGTTCTTGCGCAAATCTTGCACGGTCAGTCTTGGTCTTGGTCTTGCTAAAAAGAGGCGGTCTTGTTCTTGGTCTTGGTCTTGCAAAAATGCAAGAACAAGACCAAGACTGCAAGACCAAGACCGATTTTGGGCAACACTAGTAATTAATATACGAGTATATGTTGTTTGAGATTATTTTTATTAGTTATTATACCTACTTATCGACAGATTTATTTCGATATGATAGAAGGATGCAAAGATGACCACGATCATCATTTCGCCAATGAAATCGTGGGCACAGCTAACAATCAAGTGGGCCAAATATGGCGTCACGGGCGTGTTTTTTAATTATTTATGGTAAATATATTAATTACCAATGACCTTGACAACTTTTTACAGGAACTGTCAAAAAAATATCATAATTTGTTCTCGAGATAAGCTACACACACACACACATATATATATATATATATATATATATATATATATATATATAGGCGTTTACGTCCATTACAGACGATTTACGGTGCAATGTCTGAGAGACACCGTTTTTATGGTTGAAGAGAACCGATGCGAGAACGACATGTTTTAGCACAGGCCTGACAAGAGAAGTTTGCGGCAGATAATAACTAGCCGCCTTGATGTCGTCTCTTGTCAACAAGTGCCGCGTACCAGACATCATCGCAAAACTTGCGATGCTCCCCTACGGTTTTGCACCATTCTCCAAAATGTTCTCCCAGTTACAGTAACCCATTTTGAAAGAAACCGTGTCCCACGTCGTGCAGTCTATTAAGCAATGACCTCCCAACGTTTCTTTGCGTTCGTTACTGCACCTAGAAGATTACGTTGTAATAATCGGTAGGGATCCATCCTGTGAACATGCCCTAGCCAATGCAAGGGCCTCTGATAAAAAATCGTGGTCATTCTAGGCAGCTATTCAATTTCTAGAACTATCTCGTTTGATAGCCTGTCTTGCCATGATATGCCCAAGATTTTACATAAACAACGCATGCACAAACAGTTCATACGACGTTCTGATTTTAGATACGTTGGTCTTAACTCCATTCAAGAGTAAACTTAAGCCTGAAAAACTTGGCCGATCTTAGTATTAATGGTCAGATCTTTGTTGTACCATAGTCTAGCACCAAGCTTCCCGAACAAACTACATTAAAATTTATTAATATATTAACCTAACACACATCTGAACGACCATGATTACATTCATAAAAGAACAGTGAAACATGCAGCAATTTTAACGACTTCCAAATGAGAAGTAAAAAAACAAACTTGTGCTTACACGAGTTTTACATAAAATAAATATTGTATCACGGCTCCATTTATCCAGTAATATCATTAAGATTTAATATAACTGCTTACCAATCGCACATCATGATGTTTTAACAGCAATTATACATTTAATATGGTATCTAATAGGTTTCTTTGATGTCTCTCGTACCAGGTACGTACATTTTGCTCATGTTGCGGGAAAATAAAACTATGAGTTAATACAACACATTTTGATTTTATTAAATTCTAATCATTGTAACATTGACATTTTGATGACAGGAAATAGACAGAATAAACGGATTGCTTCTTTTGTCTGTGTCACGGCCTTTCTGGACACTTTCCTCTTTTTTCATTACGGATGCAGTGAATTTGGCACTAAAAATATAATACACACAAATCAAAGACAGTTAAATAATATTAATTAACGAGTATTCGACGGGACAAAGCGGCCAAATCGTAATCTATTACTTGTTACCTATAAATAACAAGCGGAATCAGACGGTTAATTCCAAAGAGATTTAAAATATATATATATATATATATATATATATATATATATATATATTACTACTACTACTTAAATGTCTTTGGTTAATTCGAAAGAATGTTCACTCGAGTGCATGCAACATGCTTCATTTTTCTTTCATTCTATACACAGCTTAGCTGGAATGACATAAAAAGAACATTCACCTGCTCTTTTCTTTCAATATGTTGTCGAATGACGTACGTTATGGAATTAGTTTAACTTGTGATCATTTAATTACACTGCTGAAAAATTCTGCATGCTTGAACCAGTATAGAGTCGGTACATAGACGTCGTCAGAATAGCAAGCACTTTTTGTAGATTGCTTTATTTTGGTTAATTATGTTGTATAGCGGGTTCTTAACGTCTTTTTTTTGTAGAATAAGGGTGACAAACGAGCACACAGTTCACCTGATGGTAAGTGGACGCTGTGGCCCATCTACATTTATCCTGAATTAAGAATCAAAATGCAGATGCGTTGCCCCTCCTGAGGACTGAGATGGAACGCCCCGTTTCCAGTAAAAAGGGTCTCCGGTTCTCTACACTCACCATACGAAACACAGCAGCATTAAGCTGCTATTTTACGCTGGTATTCCGTGAGAGCGTGGTCCCACCCCGGGCGAGCCGACCCATTCGTGCTGCAACCACAATATAGCTGCAGCATGACTCTACCACGTCTTTATTTTATGTTTAATATCTTCTTTAGTACTCTCTAAATTTTAAATCACTAATTAGAAACTTCATAGCGTTTGCCCATATTGTTATGTCTTAGTCCCTAAGCTACCACTGCCCTAATAAATATACTTAATACCCAAAAAAATCGGGGACGTATACGTAACGAAACGACCTTAAAATTGTGGCGCTTCCCTAGGTCACAGTCGTCACTCAATTAATTCTTTGATCTTTTAGCTATCGAGTGGCGTAATTAAATTTTGGATGAAGATGATAGTTATGTAACTGCAACACCAAACAGTTTAACCTGATTTTGTTAATTTTTTTTTCTGAATAATTGCCTCCCATTATGGAAGCAAATTTAAAGACGTAACTACTCACATCATCCTTGCCATCTTTCTTGCACGTGCATTTTACCACGGCACCCACTTGCTGCGTCTGCTTGACGGGCTGAGGACAGCTGTACATGAACTTGAAGCCGAGAGCAGTCAGCAGTCAACACGGCATCCACCGCAACGCCAGCCACAAAAGGCAAAATGGTCGAACCCGGTTGAACGTTCTTCCATTGTTCAAACTGTTCATTTTTCGTTCATTCGGAGTGCGAGTGAATGATGCCGAATGCCAATATCCAACATTGTTGGATCGATTCACTAATGAATTCATTCGGCACTTTTCTTTCATTCCGTGTTTAAACGTTTCATTTCCAGTGAACGTTGCCGAATGAAAGACGTAAATGAACGAATAATGAACCGTCTGATTCCCCTTTAATCTAGTGTGATATGAAATCACAAGTAGTCGTATCATGTGCAATACCTAACTTTGGCTAAAAGAAAATAATTTTCGGAGAAAATAATATAGGGAACGAACGCGCTGAAGTTTGTTGTAATTATTTTAATACGTGTTTTTGCTATTTAAAGCTAGATAATTTTACTGTCGTACAAGATAAAAGATTTCTATGATAATGTTCCCAATAGCCGCTCTATAAACCTTATAATTTCTCGCACAATAGCAGAGCGACGCCGCTGTCTTTGGGCCACAATGGTGCCTACGGGCCGAACAATAATGAGCTGTCAATCGCTAGCGAAGATCTCTTTATATTTAATTAACTTTGCAAAATTATATAGGCTTCACACGACCACTATGTGACTACTCACATCATCCTTGCCATCTTTCTTGCACGTGCATTTTACCACGGCACCCACTTGCTGCGTCTGCTTGACGGGCTGAGGGCAGGTGTACATGAACTTGAAGCCGAGAGCAGTCAGCACGGCACCCACCGCAACGCCAGCCGCAAACGGCAATAAGGCACCATTGTCACGGTCACCCATCTAATATCACTACAATCTATAAGACATGAAGCACAAGTAGGTATGATTGGTGTTCTTAAATATTTCAATCTATGTGGTCAGTTTAGTATTTAGTTATGGAGTAAGTGATTAATAGGGCATTATTCACAATGCCCGGGCAATATGAATAATGCCCAATATGAGTATGCAATGTGATAAAAACTATTGAAATAATTAAATTGAACGGGCTTTGTGAAGGGCAGAATAATAAAAAAATAATTGAGGTGAGGCTTTTTTATGCCTCATATTTAACACATAAACACAATGGGAATAAAGATTTTCATCAAAGGTATTTTTTCATTCTTTGTATGTGGTAGAGCCATGCTGCAGCTATATTAGTAGTATAGCTGTAGGCTGTAGCACGAATGGGTCGGCTCGACCAGGGAAGGACCACGCTCTCACAGAATACCAGCGTAAAATAGCAGCTTAACACTGCTGTGTTTCGTATGGTGAGTTTAGAGAACCGGAGACCCTTTTTACTGGAAAAGAGGCATTCCAGCTTAGCCCTCACGGGTGACAACGCTTCTGCATTTTGATTCGCAAACGAAGATAGATGTAGATGTCCATCAGGTGGACTGTGTGCTCGTTTGTCACCCTATCCTATAAAAAAAATTGTAACATAAAGGAAGGTTTTACTTCCTTTCCTTTCCTTCACATTTTTACACTTATTTATTTCAGATTTGTTACATTATTTACTTGTTGTCTTAAAAGTAATTAACATGGTTAGGTTAGGTTATATAAAATTTCCCAACAGTTATGTAGCAATATTCACAATGACCAGACATGTGATAAAAAACGAAGTTAAAATCAGTATTAATTACATTGCCCGATTTGACATGTCGTTATTCATATTCCCCGGGCATCATAAATAGTGCCCTGATTAATCACTTGGTCAATAACATCTATACATATTGTTTATCAGTCAATCATTTACTCATCATTCATTACAGCTTATCAAGAGTCCACAGCAACATGGACCTCTACCATAGCTTGCCTCATATCGTGATATTGTCATAGTTGCCACACTTGGCAGACGGGTTGACAATCGCAGTTATTATTTTCTCTGTTCTCTGTTTCATTAATGCTCGTGCATTTCCCATTTTTTCATTGCCCTCCGTCGCCTCTTACGACACCCACAGGAAGATATGGGATTTTCAAACACCGCAAGCCGCCACTACACCGCTAATGTATCAGTCATGTCTGCCTGTATTAACTTTACAGACGGATCCGCGTGGCGTTATTCAGCCTTATTATATTAATCAGAGTACCTGTCTAGTATCTACTACGCTACAGGTACTGTAGTGGGTTCGAAGCAAATTCGGAGCTAAGTCTAATCCGATTGGGTTGTAAAATGTGATTGACCCCTTATCATACAGTGTTTACTTCAGGGACGGTTAGATTTGGACGAGTGCCGTTGTGAGCTAACACACGCTTGTGGTTGCACTATAATATCTCCTGCGCAGTTATTAGTTATTGGGTAATTAATATGAAGTTATCGCCGCTGCCGGAAATCAGCTAGGGCGATATTCGGTGTGAGATGCTTACTAATGTCCCGAGTGAATCACAACTTTATGTTAAGGATCCTAACAACTAATCAAAGATAGAGAAGTCATCTCTCTGTATAAGAAATACGCCATTATGATTCACGGCTGAATACGAAGATACAGCGAGAGCAACGAATCAATCAGAAAGCGAAAAACACTCTTAAACTTTACATGAAGTAGCGAGCGCCACTCGTACTTATTGCTTTATAAAACACTCATTTTAAAATAAATGTTGGTGTAAAACTAGGTTGTGGACATTGACAACAGGTGCTGTGGATTTAGATTTAATAAATATTAATAGACACATGATAATTTACTATCAAGTGTATCAAAAAGGAATTAGTCTCTACCTACACTTAATGACCTCTTTTAATTAATATGTAAGTTAAGTTATCTACCTTCGAAACTGAGGCCAAGACTTCAAATAACACATGTTTCCATGAATTAAGCTTTTAAATATTTCATGTAAAATTCTTCAACTTCAAAACATTGCTAGAGCATTAGCTCCTATAGGTGACTTTCTCAGTGACAGCGTCATTAGTTTTATTATTCTTATTTAAATTATGGGTTGATTTAGTGATAGTCAATTAACAACACAACAAAACTTTTGTGATGAGAGAAATTATTGGAGTCAAATAATAAAATTGTTAGTTCTCCATTAAAATATATATATATATAATTTTTAAAACTTTAGACCAAGGACTTCAGACGTGAATTCTAAACATATTTATGTTTAGACCAAAATCGGTTCAATCATATTGTGTAAGGTTAGAGTCCGTATAAGTTGTCCCACTGCTGGGCATAGACTCTCATTGTTGAGGCGGTATGGGCGCATCTTCATTTAGTCCCCCGCGAGTCTGTGTTAAAGATTTTTTTCAACTAAAATGGGCCAGTGGACATCATTATCTATACAAATAAATAAAATTTAAGTGTCTGTTTGTAGTATTAGATTAATAGCTTTTTACTAAATGCATATGAAATTATATACGGTACTTATAACAAAAACACAATTTTTAAAATTTTTGTCTGTCTTTTTGTTCCGGCTAATCTCCAAAACGACTGGACCGATTTCGGCGGGACTTTCACTAGCAGATAGCTGATGTTATAAGGAGTAACTTAGGCTACTTATATTTTAGAAAAAGAATTAGGGTTCCGCGCAACATAATTAAAACCCTAAATTACACGCGGGCGAAGTCGCGGTGAACAGCTAGTCTTTCATAATTAAAAGATGAAGTAGTTTATGAATGTGCAGGGTACTGTCTGAGAGAGAAAACCGCTCAAGCTGGAAAAGTGGCTTTTGAGGATTTGTTCTATAAGTACTTACTGACTGGTAGTAACAGTACGTAGTACTATTATTTATTCTGTGGTAATAGTACCTATTCTGTGCTTACACTAATGCGTTTCACGAATGAATTCCCTTCGCCATAATCACAGACTAATATGATCCCCTTTATGGATATATAAGTTCTGTGAAGTGTGACATATGCTAGGAGTAAAGTATTCTGTGCATATGATATAGCTTGCTACATATATATTTATACGTATGCCGTAATGTTAGTAGCACGAAAATCAGTGTTGCTATATTTTGAGTAATGAAATTACTTAATATTAGGGAGATTTGCAGACTACATTGTTTTTCAAATTGCCTACTAATTTCGCTCTGTTTTTTTAGAACTGTGTAAACAATATTTTTGAATAATTTATACTGCTACACAGGAATTCTGGAGATAATTAATAGCTTTATTGGGATGTAAGGAAAGAACCTCCCTAAAGGAGTTATAGTAGAAAAAGCCTCTTCGGTAATTTTAACTATATGTTTTTGTTTCAACCACGTTTTTTTCTACAATTTTTCTTTTTAATAGGCTCCTTATAAGTTTTATGGGGTTCAAATCACAGTGGTAAGGCGGAAGCCAGAAGAAGTAATTACAAGTAATTGAGCTTTTACCATTGTCGGCAAATAAGTAAGGCCTTTATTTATAATCCATTCTTGCATTTCAGGCTTTGTGCTAAAAATAGTTGGTGCTCTGTGTTAACCGCAACTATATGGTATGGTGCATTATTCATGACTACAATAGACTTGGGAGGTAGAATTTTCAAGTTTTTCTTTTAGTCGCTTCATGAAATTTCCTCGATTCATCTGATTATGATAATTTCCCGACCTGATTTAAATTGAGACTTAAAAGTGAGATGAGCATTTGGTATTAAGCCGTTTTCATTACCTGCGTTGACTTTAACCCATCATGGTCCCTTCTAGTCTGAGGATAAAACAGCTTCTTCTGTTTCACTTTGCCTACGTTTTCTGGTACAGTACGTTGAGGGAATACAGGTTTCATCTAAATATATGGACGCTGCACTCCAGTACGATTGTCCTGCAATTGTTTTATGTAAAACGCCACACCACAATATCGTACCTCTCCATTAACACTTTCCTTAAAACTTAAATTTTTTAAAACAAAGTCCCATTTCCCTTCTTAATTCTACACAAAGTGATGCGATTTCCATTAAAATCGATTTCATTTCGTATTTCGTGCAACAATTTTGCTAGAGTAGCCAACTCTATTCTAACCATATAGAACTCACGTTCTTCGTTTGTCAGGGGAGCCAATATTACAGTGAAGGGAATTATTTCGTGGAACATACTTTATTTTATAAGTACATAATTATACTCAAAGGTTCTGTGGTGGTGATTGATTAATGATTACCAGTGGTGTCAACTTAGTGGATTTTCCACTAAAACTGGTGGTTTTCGACCCCTTTTAGTGAAGGAATATTGCTTTTATTTCCTGGTAGTTTTTTTTTTTTACATTCAGCAGAGGTGGTTCAGTAGAATTCAGTTTTAATTAGTGGAAAGATATTGTCTGCAGTCTTCACATTCTGCAAGCCATCTAGTTTTACAAAGGTTCATCGCAGTATTGGAATAATAATGCTTTCTGTTCCTTCAAGCTACTCTCTGCGCTACAGTGTTAGGCATGGCTCTGAGCCTTACTGCTCGCCTCTGCTTCACGGCACTCTCGCAGATTACTTGCCTTCTTCCCGAGTCACCGCAGACTACAAGGCAATCCCTGGCTCTTGCTCCGGCTCATCTTTCTCACTGGCATCACTTGCAAGTGCGTAGTACGGCATGCATTACACGCCGGCATATCGTTTGCACCGGCGTCACTTGCCCTTACGCACACAGCATGCATTCCCCGCCGGCATTAAGGACACACCGGCAATTGGACTGCACTATCGACCTATGGTCTGAGCAGGGGGGGGGGGAGTGATGTGGCGCCGCTGTCTGCGCGCCACAAGCGAAACACATCGAAACCTAAATCGCGCTAACAAAGTTCCGAAGTTAAAGCAGTATATATAGAATAGCTCCAAACTACCACTCGGAGCGTTGGGCACTCCCCGGGCAGAAGACCTAGCCTGGCAGGAGATCTTCCCTTTCCTTTCACG